AGCTTTCATGCCAATATTTGATATTGATTTGAATAAATCATTTCTATAATAGATATGATGGAAAGCATATTCTTTATACTAGACGTCATCAATAAATGTAAAAAACAAGTGTCACTTATAATATGAATAATACTCAAGATCATATGGCAACGGCAACAGAAAATAACGATACTAAGTTCACAGATATTTTCAAATGATAAAAAGATTATTACAATTTCAATATATAAAGAAATAACTTTATGATCATTATTCATAAAATCAAAATTTTTGAAATTTTGCCAAAGTATTCTGCCTATCTAGTACGAAGTAACTACAAAGTTTCAGATCAATACCTTTTACTATAAATGAGAAATTGTAACCACACTATCATGCAATATGTTATACATTTTTCCGATTACTTAAATTGATCAAATGCGATACAAAAATTTTGAAGCAAATGTTGATCACTTGCTTTTCTTATGGAATACATATCGAAACAAAAATTGTTTTCTTCAAAGATATATTTTTATTTATGTACGTGTCGATAGGAGAAGGTTCTAAATACCAAATATATGTAATTTTGTTAGACATGTTTTTATCAGTTAAATTAATCCGAATTTTTTTACTTCAAAACTAGCTGATATTTGTCGAATAGAATACACCTGAAATGTATTAAAAGAGAATTTATGAACGCGAGAAGACAATAAAATTGGACGATTGAAAAATGACATTAAACAAGAATTAGAACAACTTTAATATGTTTTTCATATAGATAACTATTAGTACGATTAAGATAAATTATAGATCAAAATGAAAAAACAAATACATAAACTAAATTTTTATTACGAAAAGTTGTTTAGATTTGAAGAGTAGATCGAATATTAATAAAATACTACATGATACTATTATTAATTTCTTATATATTGTAAAAGTTATTCATCGGAAACGTTGTACTTATTTAATCTAAGGTAAACAAAATTATCTGCTAAAGTTGGAAAAAATTTGCTGTTATTGAATAGAAGAAGGGTAATATTTTAAGATCGTTTCAGAACTTCGAGGATACTGTACAAGTCAAATTATTATGTAAGAAAAAAAAATTAACGTGTTAAATGTAAAAAATGATCAAACTGAGGTGTAAATAATATAAAAAGGAACAACATGAAATATCATTAAGTTATTGAGTAATTTCATTTGATATGACATTAGATGTTTGCTGTAATATCTAAGTAATGGGAATGGAAGTTAAATGGATATGTGCTTCTAGCATTAGAAAAAAGTGTTTATCATTTTTCCACAACTGAATCGTTTAGAAATTCGTTTGAATGCCAAGATCAAATCTGACATTATACAGAGAATCTACTTCATAAATTAGTTTGTTAACAAATATAACTCAATAAATTAGCGACAGATGTGTTGCAAATGAGAAGTTTTGGTGAGTATCTGTTACCTTGAGAAACTTATTTTAGAAATTATTTTTCATGGACAATAATTTGTTTGTCATAGTGGTTAAATGGATTGCTTCTAAGAATTGCTGAACTATTAATTAAATTGAATGAACATAAGCGAAGGAACAAATATTCACATATCATCACAATTAGATGCAGTTAGAATTTTTCTATCAATATTAATAGACAACTATTCACTGTTATTCCGTGTAAGGGACTTGTACAAGTTTATTAATATCGATGTAGTATGGCTTCAGTGTATTTCTTTTTTGCTGATGAAGTTTTCATTGGAAAAAAAGCGATAAACGAACTGTTTTTAAATAGAATATTATCTTAATTGTTGTTATGAAATTCTTCTAAGAGAGCTGGTCATCTATTCTATACAATAGGTAATTACACACAGATGTTGATAAAAACCAAATCGAACAATTTTGATTTCTTTTTCTATTTAGAATATTTTATTTTATTTTCTCGTACAAACGATCTGCAAACACAATATTTTTTTGTTGTTGATGAAACATATAGTCGATTGAGATGGTTTTTTTTTCATCCGTACAAATGTAGTAAGATCACTAATGTCGAATTGATGCTTGAAACGGTTGATGATAAAATTATCCATATAATAAAAAGATACTTCGTACTGTTATGAATAAATATACGTAGATAAATTTGGATCATAGATATAAAAAGATTTTCTTATTAAAATTTCTCAACTAGAAAATTCTCCTATTAGCTTTTCGACGTCATACTTTTCGTAATTTCTTTCTAAAAGTTAAACAATAGTGAAATTTTATTTCTGTTTTAACAATGAGGTATATAGATGATTACATCTTTAGTTAAAAACACTGTCAAACATTGAAATTTGACAACACATTTGGTTATTTTGAAGTTTATATTAGCAACAAAAATAAAATTCATAGCTAAGTCCTATTTTCGAGATACATACAAGCCGAAGAAATATTGCAACAATTAAATGTGAATCAAGCTAATATATCACAAACGGTAGCATCAGGAATAGAGCCTGTCGGGTCCGATTCGGACTCTGTCGGATCCAAAAGCTTTTATTGATTGGGTGCAGATCGTAAGAAAACTTTCATGCATATAATTCAGTTAAAAAGGAAAACAAATGTTGTTGATTGTGGTGTAGTTGTCTAACAAAAGAAGCAATGCAAATATGTTAATGCATACATTCATTATTCTATTCGAAGCTACTTGCTATGAGTAAGAACCAATTATAACTTAATTGTTGTAAAATCATTATCGAATCGATGAATAAACATGTAAGATGTACTACTTATCTTGCATAAAAGTAAAGAAGTATGCCGTATTTTCTCAGTGACTATAAGATTCAATTAGAAAATTTGATTAAGAGCTTAAGAGTATGTTTTGGTCCAGATCTATAAGTGATTAATAAACCAGGTGTTAGTTAGGGGTGCTACTTTAACTTTACTTTAAAGTTAAAGGAAGCATAATTAAAATTTAGCGTTCAAAGCTATTTATGAAAAAAAAAATTTGTTCTGAAAATTCTACTTTAACTTTGTTTTTTTTTAAGTTAAAGTTTAAAGTATGGTTGCTGTAACTTTAATTTTAATAATTTTATCAGCGTAGTTTCAATTTTTAACTGCCACTACTAGTATGAGTCCAAGCATTTTTGATGGATCGGGTTCGAGTCTGGGTCCACAAATTCTTGAACCCGACAGGCTCTAATCAGGAGACATGTAAACAATCATACAAAGCATTTGTGTGGAATGAAATATCGAAAAGTCGAATTGGACGAGAAGATTCAATGCTTTCTGGTTGAATCAATCATCTTGATTAAATACTCAGATTAAGTTAAAAAAGAGCTTACGGATCAGCTTAATGCGAGCGTGAAAACATCACTACGACTACTGGTTGAATTTTCATGCTTTAACAATATGGAGTCAATAGTGGCGTTGTTGCAACGATTCTAATTGCCAAGTATATGTCGATTCAGGACACACAATCATTCAGATCGTTGATGGAAAAGTCAATGTGTTACTCCATTCGATATAATTATATTTATAGACCATCTTATTTCAAGGTCCTGGTAACAACTGATGCGGCTGTTTATTATAAAGGTCATTTGCATGCGAATACTATCAGATTGTACTTACTCAACTATCAAGATTTAGAAAAAGTCGATTTCGATTTAAAACAACGATTAGTTGGACCTATAAGAGCTACGACTAATTTCGAAGCATGATAACTGTTACAGATTATATAGAATGAATTAGAATTGGCAGAAAAATATAGATCAATAAACATAAGTTTCAAACTTTTATCTGTGTTTTTTTTTTGCTTTCATGTTTCAATAAATAATTAATAATAAAATTAATCTGGCAAAACAAAAAACAAACCACTTACCATTTTTATTTTTGATTGAAGTGCTTCTTGAGTATATTTTCTTTTTCAAGGCGTTTGTAAATGATAAGGCGCACTAAAGTATTATTGGCAATTCAAGAGCAATGACAAACAATGATCATGGTATTCTTTTACAAATAGAATAACGCCAACGATCCTCTCTCACCGATAACCAATCCATACCTTCAATAAAAGCAAAGATAACAATCATCATACCTACCAATGAAATTTACAAGAGAGAATGATAATTTTTGTTTTGCAGAAGTATAATATTTCGTTTTTCTCTAAATTTTTTAATTTCATATTTACATTGGTTATAAATATTCAGCAATATGCTCATTTGAAAGTTCTGTTATTGGGCAATATTTCAATACCTTTCTGTAATAACTACTTGACTCTTTAAGTTTCTTGTTCTATATAAGACAATGACACAAAAGAAATAGAAAATCTTCATAGATGCATTAAATATGTAAGTAGATCGATTTTCATGCAAATTGATTCTATTACTATGATGAAAATATGTGAGAATAACAACGTTGAGAGAATATTTTACTCAGAAATCAATACTTTCATCGGAACATGTAATTAGCAATCTATCATAGTCAACATTTTTCACCAATGTCAAAAATGAAATACAAATCAAGAAAGTATTCAAGATAGTTATAAATCAAAGATTTGTTCAGTTTTGATTCTACAGAATTCTTCAGTTAATACAAACGTCAAAATACGTACAAAGAAAAAATGGAGCACACAATGGTATAAAGATGTTAAGGTTTACCCTGCTCTACCCTACGAAATAGGGTAAGAAAATTTTATTGCAGTTAGTGACCATCCGAAAAGTAGATTCAGTGGAAGTAACACAACTAACTTGTACATGCAATCGATGTTAGATGTCAATAGAAATTGCACCGGACTTCAACAATTTGTCATAATCATTTAGGATATAAGAAAATAAGATTTAGTTATTCTTGCTTTTTTAAAACAAATTCAGGATATTGCGACATCTTTAAAATATTTGAAAAAGAAATAAATAAATTCATCTATATTATTTTGTTTTATTGGATCTTATTAGAATAATAAATAAATACTTACATTTCGAAATATTCTGCATTTTATCGATTTCTTTTTTTATTAAAGTTTTACATATTGTAACACTTCAAAAATAAAATTGAAAAACCTATCGAAGACAAAAATATGACCAAAGATAAAGTTGAAGGTCGTCTTCAAAAACTACTCAATAATGAATTATCATCTTCATCAGATGATAAAAAACAAGTCATTTCTGCTTATGAATCTTTAATTAGTATTCTTCAAACACCTGAAACACGTAAACAATTACATGGATATCATGAATTACTTTTCGGATGTATATCTCAAATAATCCTCACGCCATTTAATCAATTTTTTCATGATGATCAATTACGTTTTTTACTTGAATTAGCATCGAATGCATGTGTTTTGTCAATGTCACAAAATCAAATTATTGATAGTTGGTTACAAAATATAGAAGAACGAACATTTGAAAAACCAGATAATGATGATGATGATGATGATGATTTATATGAAGATGTCAGTGATAGTGAAGAACAAGAAGATGAAAAGATAACAAAAATACAAGATAATAATAAAAAATCAAATCGAAACGCAATTAATCAAAATAAAAAAAAACATTTTTTTGCTGATGATGTATCTCATCATGATTTAAATTTAATGTCATCAAAGGAGAAATGTCGACCATTAACAAGTATGTGATAAAATAGATTTTTATATTGCAAATATTTTGAATTATATAGAAGATATATCGAATCAACGTAATATTCATATTGCACATTCACATGATAATCGACATGGTAAATAATGTTTTTTTTCCCACTTTTTAATTTGCAATATTATATATTATATTGAAGTTATCTCTTAAACGAACAAGAATTGTAACTTTAGATCGTATCATTAGAATCAATATTTAACTGAATAACAAAAATATTTTTCTATAAAAAAACAAAGCTTCATGATACACAAGATATTATTTGTAAGAAGGTTAGAAAATACCTATAGGAGGTGAACAATTGAAAATATATTATCATTCTTAGACTATGATTTATTGTTGGTCAGTTTCAAGTAGTAAATCTTCAGAAATTGCCTAATCATGAAAACAAGAATACGATGCTTGTATTCGATAGAAAATTAAAGAAAGCCAGTTATCACGAATCTTCACATCGTATTCATATTTCATTCAGGCCTTATGTAGCATTTATTTTTGACAATTGAATAAAAAAGGAAACATCTACATTGTAATAACTTTCACAAGTGATTATTTTGAAAAATATGGTCAGCACCATTCAATATGCTTACTTTCGTCATTAGCTGTAATTTTCATTGTTGTCATACGAACGTAGATTATATAATATCATCGGATATACGTAAACTATCGCTGATTTAGAAGAAAAACTCTAAGTTTTCTGATGGGTACTGCTTGTGCCCCATCCATCTAGAATATATAACTGGTATGACGATATCATGAATCGTATAATATCAGTATCGAAATTGACTTATAGACCTTGGCTTATACATCTTTCTATTAACCACAAATTTCCTTTCAAATCCTATTTTTGATGGATTCTTCCATGGATAATCAACTGCCACAAATACAAGGTTTTCAGAAGATTTTTTCGCCTGAAGAACTTTGTAGAGCTCGTTTCACTGATCATTTTAGTAAAAAAAAATATTCAAATTTACTCAATAAATCATGGTGTTAGGGTCAAAATACTCGGAAAATTCGACTATGCTGACTGCTACTGAGAGGTAGTTGACGTTTTCAAATATTTTGACTGTAGATATATGATTTAATCAGTAAATTTGAATATTATTTTCACCAGAGTGATCAGTGCAACAAACTCTACAAGGTTTTACAGACGAAAAAAAATCTGAGAACCTTGTATATTTTAGTATACAATTTACAAGTAACTATGCGGTTTACATTGACTACCGATCTGTAAATCTGTTTCAAATTATGACATACAAATGTTTGAGTTAATATTTGTAACACTCAAAATCTCTGCCTCAAAGACGAAACGAAGTGTAATAGAATATAAAAAACGAATGTAGTTTCTTACATTTAATATCTTGTGTATCATTGGTTTTTTAATAGAAATATATGTTTGTTGTTCAGTTGAAGTACCATTCTGATAAAACCATTCAAATAGAAAATTCTTGCTCGTTTAACCTATTCAATACGACATATATATGTATATGACTAAATAGATCATAAAAATTCTGAACGAAATAATGTAAATAAAACTACAACTCCTGGAAACAATAATCGAAAATCAACAGGTAATGATTACACAAATAATCGTAGTAAAGGACCGGATACTGGTAGAAATAAAGAACGCCGAGCAGCTCCATTCAATAACAAATATGGAGTTGATCTTCGACTTTGTAAGTTATAAAAATATTTCAACATTCTTTAAAATTAACAGTTTATCTATTTTAGATGATTGTTATATCTGTGGTGAATATGGTCATGTCCAATATGATTGTCCTATGAAACAAGCTAATTCGAAAACTTTACATCGTAGTCGTGTTTGTGCTAATTTGACTAAAACAAAAGAACAGAATCAATCAAAATCTTCTCCATCGATAACTTCAATAGAAATAAATCATAATGAAAAATATCAAAATAAAATTCAAGAAGTTTATAATCAATCATCAAAATTAATCAATAGTTCTCAAACAATTGAAAAACAAAATCAAACATTTGAATTATTTCTTTCACTTATACAAGAACTTAAAAATCAACATGAAGACAATCTTTCAAAAATATTTCATGAAAAAGAATCATTATTCTATTCTCTATTTTGTCATATTGCTCAAAATGATTTTTTATTTACAAACGATCAATATTTTAAATTATATCATTTTAAAAATATTTTATTACCAGAAAAATATAATTTATTAAATGAAGATCGTTCAATATTTTGTCGACAACGTTTTTTAATACCATTAAATATCATAACAGAACATATTAAAAGTGTAACACAAATTGAACAAACAATATTTAATGATTTTCAAGAACATATTATTCGTTCAACATCACCTATATCAATAATATTATTTGATTTAATTAAATATTTACTTAAATCAAATATACATATTGATATGAAATCTATTGAATATTTAACACATAAAATTTTATTTGATTTAAAAAAAAATATTTTTTCAAATGAACAACTTAATGAACTTCATATATGTTTTGATATTCGTGCGAAACGTATTGAACGTAATCATCAAAAACAAATATGGAAAGAACGTTTAATTTTATTTAAAAATGATCAATTATTAATTGATCTTAATCAATGGACTTTAGAATTTGAACAAATTTTAAATAAAAATTATAATGAAGAAATTAAATCCGAAAGAATTGTCGTTGAAAATGCAATGTGGTATTTTGCTATTTTATTAATGGCTAGTAGTGGACATTTAAATAAAGATCAATATGAATGTGTATTAAAATCAGCTATTCAATCATCATTATTTAATTCAATACAAAAATTTTATTTTCAATATTATTTAAATCATGGACAAGCACCAATAACTATTTATGAATTAAATCAAATTAAATTAAAATTAGAAAATCATAATATTGATGATAAAAAATTAGCTTATGAACAAATTAATATGATCCTTGATAGACAAAAACCAGAATTAAGTCATGAACAAGTAAATCACTTATTTATTTTAATTCCAATAAATTTCTTGCATTTTTTTTTCTTGTTTTATTTAGATCAAACAATCTTCGTCTGAAAATAATAATTTAAATCCTATTAATGATCAGGTACATTTTATAACAATATTATTGACTGATTCTCTATCATTTCTATTAAATAACTCTGAAAATATCTAAATATCTGTTTAAATGAGTATAACAAAGTATGTCAAACAAACTTGATAGAAAACTTGAAGTGAATTTCAAACAATGAAAATGATTATTTCAAGAAGTAGATTTCAGTAATGTTAAATCTGAACGTTGAATTCAAAACTTATAAACAACAGAGATGGGATTGGTTCGCGTTTTTTTTGGAACCGAAACAATCTCATATCTAGTGAGGGTTACTTCAGAGGCACTCTAATTTGGTGTGATATGCACTAGACAGTATTTGATGAAATATCTAAATATCTGGCTTTTTCATTCTAAAATATTCAATAATTGAAGTTCAAATTGCGGTTTGACATGGATGATAGATTTGATAGCTTGAACTATAGCCCTATGGAGTCAAGTTTTATGATTCCGGCTTCAACTCCGAGAAACTCTGAAAAACTATTTTTTGACTAGCATATATACTTCACTTACTGCTACTTGTTGATGACACAGGTTTTTTTTTCTTGAAACTTATGAGTCTATCAATGAATATCAGTTTGTTCATTACGTAACATATGAAGAATAAATTTACTGCTATTTATTCTACATGAACACTCCGATTCCATCGGTGTTAAATTTCAGAGTTTGACGCAAGGCTCTAGTTCGATCATATCAAATTGTCAGTTTCGTTAATGAAGAAAAATGAAAACAATTGTTGAAATTATATCTCTCTTCGACATTATGTTTCTAGAAAGTATTATATCATTTCTTGAATAATTTGATATACTTATAAATATGACGATAATTGGAAAAGACAAAAGATTATTCTCGATTGATAGTTTTAAACATTTATACTAGGTTGGAAAATTCTATAATCAACGAGATAAAAATGTTATCGAATAAAATACTTCTTGCTAGTCAGTTTTATTTTAAAATAATACTTCTATCATAGATGGTGCTCTACATTCAACGAAATAAATCAAAATGTTTATGTAGATATTTATCATTTATGACCAAATGTGTACTAAGACTGAAGTGTCTTTGACAAAGATTCCTTGTTTTTTTTTTCGTCTGCAATAATGTACGAAATCTATAGCAAACTATCTAATTTTCTCATCTATAGTCGTTGGTACGATCAAAGTTGAAACTAAATTAACCGTGGCATGAACTTTTGTCGTTCGTAGTAGAAATCTTACGAGGGAAATCTCCCAACTGGTTAATCGCTTTTGAACCGGAAATATGTGCATCATGTAGATCCAATTGTGTTATGAATATCTTGGAAAGAGTTCGGATCCATAACTTATTACTACCGATATATTACATTTTTACAATATTTTCTAGTAGAATACAATATACTCCATCTCAAGAATACCAGAAAAACTGGTTTTGGAATTTCAATTTGAAAGTTTGCATAAAAACAAGACTTGGCGAGAATAGTTAATCATAAAAGTATCAGGTGATTTGAATATCTTCTTGTTCTAAAATAAGAACATCGAATCGACAGGTGGATATGAGCAATATAAAAGTGCTTTTATCATGGCTCTATCTCTGGAATAGAAACAACGAAAATATCTGAAAATTTTGTAATAAACTATTTTCGTTAAGGCTTATTTATATGTAAAGTTTCCAGTCGAAATTCGAAAATCAGTTTTCCTAGTATTCGTCAGGTGGCCACGGCTTTGTCTTGAAAAATATCGTAAAAATGCAATATATCGGTAGCAATAATCTATGGACCCGAACTCTTTTCGGGATTTTCATAATCCATCAGGATCTACATGACGTACATAGTCCCAACTTAAAAACAATCTTTGGTAGTTATGCTTTTGTCTCAATGGAAATTTAATATCAATATCATGCGAAGGAACACTTTTTAAAAAAACCATGGAGATGAATCTAGACTGATTATATTTTATATTCGATTTTTCTAGTCAAGAAAATCCGAAGATAGTATTCCAATAATTGATAATCATGTCCTATCTCGCCTGATTTCTCTTGTTGAAATGATTTGCTCGGATACAAATACATTTTCAACTGAACAACAAAAAGAATTACTTGATAAATTTCTTCATCAATCAATAATTGTTCGTCCATTATCAAATGCTGATCAACAACGTTTAACATCTTATTATTCTCGTCCAATATCATTAAATGAATTAAAAGCATATTGTTTATCATTAAAATCAGATTTAAATGATTTTCTATCTTTACTTAAACATAGATCATTAATGAATAATGATGAAGTATATGATTTCTTTACCCAAACAATTATAAATATATTTGAAAATCGACAAAAATACTCCGATACAAAATGTCAAGAATTAAAAAATTTTCTCGAGAAAAAAGCATTACGAAAAAAACGTTATCGATTAATCAATGAAGCATATGGAAAATTTCGTTTAAATAAAAAGAATATTCCTACAATTAATCGAACTATTCTCAATCAATTATTAAATAATATTCTTTTACAAGATTATCAGGTAAACTAGCAGGAACGTGGTCGTTAAACAATAAAATCGATTCTTTCTCGAAACTAAGTTTCTTATTTTTCGAATAGTTAATTATAGTGTCAGGAGTCGGTTGCCATTCGAATTAGGTCATTAGACCTCAGATAGCTGCGCAGGGCTTCCTTAAAACTCAATATTATCAATTTTCTATAGTGTTATGCAAGACTTTATAAAGCTTTACAAGATGATCGGGAGAGTCAGAAGTTGCCTTTATTTTGTTTTTTACTCAATATGACAAATTTTTGGTCAGAATAATCAGGTTTCCTTTCAAAACAAATGATATATTTGGAATCAGTATAAAAGCTGAGTCAATCTATATATGTCATAAAGTCTTTCAACAACTTTTATTTTCACCTAAAAATTCACCTATGTTCTACCTCATAGTTACGTGGAAAAATGAAGTTAGTCAAAACATCAATTGAACCGTGAAAAATTAGTTCTACGTTTTTCAAAAACCGGGGAATATTGAAAATAACAGATGAATAAATAATAAAACTGATGCTTTAAGTGACTTCATTTATCAACGTTACCCTGAGGCAGAACACAAGTGAATTTTTGAGTGAAAATAAAAGTTTTTACAGGATTTTATGACATGTAAAGATCAATTCAGGTTTTTATTTTGATTTCAAATGTATCATTTGTTTTGATAGGAAACCTGATTATTCTGACTGAAACTCGTCAAATCTCACCGCAATGTTATCATTTTGTAGAGCGTTGAAAAACCTATCACATGATATATAATATAAACTAAAGGATTTGAAGAAAGGGAGACAAACTTTCCATATAAATGCTGCATTGCATAAAGTTAAAGGAGGTCGGTTATATCGAGTTTTGAGTCAGCCTTCCGCAGTCATAATGAGGTCTAACAGTAATCAGCTCCTGACATCATAATTGACCATTCGAAACAAAAAGAAACTGTATTTTGAGAGAGGGCCGATTTCACATTACATAATGATCCTCCTCCTTTATTATATTTTATATTTAATACTTTAATTCTCGTTTTTTTTCAAAGGCTCATTTAGAATTTTTTACTTTATTAGAAGAAATTTCCGAAGTAATCAATATCAAAGATATAACAATTGAGTTTGAAATTAATCGTTGTCTTTTATCAACAATAATTCTTATTATAGTCGATGCTGATTATTCAAATTTATCAAATTTCATTTGTTTTCATCAACGTTTAAGAACTCTTATAGAAAAGCAAACAAATTTTTTTTCATTACTTCTTACTGACCAACAATATAAACTTATTCTATCTCGTTTAACACCAATATCAAATATTGATCAATTAATTAATTTAATAAAAACAGATTTAAATGAAAACAATTTTTTAAATTTAATTCATTTTATTCAAAATGAATTAAATGATAAAAATGATTTTGAAAAATTAATTAATTTTATACTTTATACATTTGATAATGAATTTTTATCAATTGAACAAACACTTCAAATATCAAATTTAATTTTTCAACATACAAAATTAAATAATAAAACATATAAAAATCTTCTTCAATTTCTTATTGATTTACTTCAACTTCATATTCATTCATCACCAAAACTATTGTTAAATTTAATTGAAAATAATCAAGAAAATAATCAAATAATTAATCAAATAACAATTATATTAAAAGCTCAAAATGGAAAATATGCTGTTGCAGATTGGAAAAAAACAACGATTCATTTATTAAAAATTCTTTTTCGTCGACAAGATAATTATGAACAATTAAAAGATATTGCACAACAATCACCAATGTTTCAACAGCCTATATATAAACAACAATTAGAATCATGTTGGAAAAAAACATCAGATAATCAATCTGATGAAAATAAACAACGTAAGTCTACAAGTAATATCATATTAGAAAGAATAGAATGAATCATTCTTTGTTATTAAACAATCAAAATTGCTTTTGGTACTGGTACTTCTTTTTAAATTAAAAGCTTTCACATAATCCATGATACCAAATTCTGACTACAAAGTGTTTTCGAGCTCCTAGCTAATAAAAGTACTTCTTCAGACATAGAATGTTATGCTCTTTCATCATATCGAAGATGAATCATAAATAAAAATACGATGAAAGATGTTTGTCTTCACTTTCGTTCAATCAAGTGGGTTGGCTTTTTTTTATATTGTTTTGCTTTAACCAGTTATTTAGAGATTCTTTTCGTATGGATAATATTAAAAAATATTGCTTTCAAGTATGAATTACATGTTGAATGAATCATAGGTAATTTTCAGTTCTCATCTAAAATAGTAACAAGAAAAAATTCTAGTTATTATCACTATTGGCATTTAAACTAACGAGAAAAGTACCTGAATCAATGGCTGTTGTTCCAGCTCAAATTGGACCTACGAGGATGTCTTGGTAAAACTAGCAAAAGTTTTACAAGATTCGTTCCCATGAGCCTTTAGAGTCGACTTATAATTATTTTATTGAATTTTCGATCCATCTTTAGATACTCAGTGGAATATGAAGTAACGAAATATTGAGCTGAAATTTTGCCCATAGACAGGTTAGGCGATCCTTAGACTATCTTGAA